AAAAAAAAGGTGAACACCCACCCCCCCTAAAACCTAAACATTCCCCGCCCCAGCAGTCAACGCCTGGACACCCAGCCCCCCATCCAACACGGCCTCCACAACCCTAAAAATCGCGCTCTTGTGCGCTCGTTCCTGCGCCGTGCCCTCGCGGACTGCTGCTTCGTCGCGGCGACGAAGTTGCTGCTTCTTAAGCGGCGTAGCAGGCGGCGAGGCAGGCGCCGGGAGGCTGCCGGGGGGTATGTCGCCCTTGCTGCTGCTGCTTCGACCGCCGAGGGAGAAGAAATCATCCGCGCTGTTGCTGCTGGGGGTGCGGTGGAAGCGGAGGTGCGAGAGGGAGTGCGTGTGCGTGTGCGTGCGTTGGTGGCGGGGCAAGAGCGAGGGGCTGCTGTGTGGGAAGAGGGCTGCGAGGGCTTGCTGTTTGGGGTGTTAGCTTGTGCTTGTGCGTTTGCTTTGGTTTTGTGTTTGGTTTTGGTTGGGTGGGATGGGGTTTGGAGAAGGGGGGAAAGGAAGCACGGCACGCCACCCACCTCGGACATGCCGCCCGCGCGCATGCTCTCGATCTCGGCTTCTGTGGCGGGGACGGCGGGGCCGGCGGGCGCAACTGCAGCTGCTGGAAGCGCGGCAACGCTGCTGGTGAGGAGGAAGAGGGCGCTTAGGAGGGTTGTTGTTGTTGTGGCTTTCATGGTGCTTGCTTGTGGTGGGTTGGGTTGAGATGGATGGCTTTGAGATGGGGTTTTCCTTTGGGTATGGCTGGCTGGGGGTGGTTCCGTGAGTGGATGGGTTGTTGGCTTGGTTTATTGGTGTTGGTAGGTAGTGCTGGGTTGCCAGCCAGATAGGTAGACTGAGGGACTGATAGACAGGCGGAGAAAGTGGAAGAAGTAGAAGAACACTGAGGAGCTGGGTCCTGGGTATCAGACTCTGCGTCGAGCAAATGATTGAGCTCGGCTTGTTCCTAGCGGACAGACGTATAGAGAGAGAGAGGGAGGGAGCGAGCGAGCGAGACAAACGAACAAACGAACGAAGTGAGCGAGTGAGTGAGCGAGTGAGAGTGAGAAAGTGAGTGAGGGAGTGACCCGACCAACTGCTGTCTTCTATCCACCCAGGCAGCAGAGCGCGCGCAGCACACCCTTATAATACCCACCCACGCACCCGCCCTTCCGCCCTCTCTCCCCCTCCACACCTCCCTCGGCACCCGCAAAGTCTAGGCCCAGATCCCCATGCACGCAAGACACCCACCCCCACAAGGAAAGGCACACGAGCCCCGCGAAGCGACGCGACGCGATGCGAGGTACGTGAGGTACGTGAGGTGAGGCGCGAAGGCAGGGCAAGGAAAGGCGAGCGCGCCGTTTCGCGCGTGCTACCCGCTGCAAGGTACGCGTGTGTGCGACGACGGCGATGAAGAGTAAGGTACATAGCGCAACTTGACTTCGACCCTGCTTTGGTGCCTAGACCCTGTCTAACGTCGATCCGGCCTGCTGTGACCTGGACCTGTGGACATACTGCTGCGAAGAAGGAATAAAGACGATGCGCGTGCGTGCGTGCCTGTGTGCGACACCTGCTACAGTAATACCGCCGCCTCTGCCCAGCTTCATGCGCTCGTCGCCGCATTGAGGCGTAGCTACTAGCTACATAGCGCTGACATTCCTGCGCGCGCGCGCGCGCGACGTGTCCCGTTCAGCAAAGAGCGTGCAGGCCGGCGCGAGGAACGGAGAGGACAGACGGGAGAGAGCAGAGCAGAGGAAGGGGACGGACGCAAGGGGGTCGGCGTGGGATGCGATGGACGGATGGGGAAAGCTTGCTAAGAGTTTGAGTAGAAAGAGAGAGAAATTGCCGAAGAAACCCTGTTTCGGAGGCGCGACTACCTGGGATAGGAAGGAAAAGGGGATGGATGAGTTGGAAAGAAGAAAAAACAGCCTTTGTCTTTTGTGTGTGCGTGATGCCGGCGACATCGAGGTATCTATCTAATCGTACACATGAAATCTCGTCCAATTTCTCGGCCCGCGCCCGCTCCGCCGCGGAGAGCGGGCGGGCGGGCAGATGCAGGAGCTGAGCTTCGTTGAGCCGAGTCAGGCCTATCTCTCTCCTCAATCGCCTCCCTTCCGTACGCCCAATCGCTAAACAACCCCTTTGCTCGGAACGCGTTTCAGTATCCACACCCTTCCCCTTTTGGTATTCCAGAGCAAGGAAAAATCTTCAAGGCCCCACGTATGACCAGTTTCTGGTATCTCCCCATCGAAAACGCCGCGCTCTATCCTCACTCCAGGCTTCACATCAGCTATGCAATCGATAGCACGCCACTCCTCGCCGGAGCCACATGCCTCGGGCCGCCGCGAGCTCTAAACCAACCAAATGAAACCGTCTAAAACAGAAATGGTAAAACTGAGTCGGATCCCCTGGCTGCACCAGCGAGACCGGACCCTATACTTTAGCAAAAATAAGCCAAGCCTAGGGAGCCATGTCTTAGATAGCTCTGATAAGCCAAACAAGCTGCGAAGCGAACCTCCCTTAGAAGTCCTCAAAGTCCGAAGCGTTGCGGTACCTTGGCATGATGCCCAGGGGCGCGCCAAAGTTGCAACTCCGTTTGGTCCTAAGTTTGATTCCAGGCACTTCGGCTCCAGTGTCGGCCTCATCGAGATCCAGAGGCGGGACTGCATCCTCCTCTTCGCCGTCCTCCGACGTAGAAGTTGAGACCGGCTCGTGCTGTAAAACGGCCGGAGTTCGCTCCTCAGGGTGCTGGAACATCGAGGCAAGCTTGTCTTCCAGCAAGTTCAAAGTGGCGGCCCCGGCGGGCTTGTCAGGGTCAGACGGAAGGAAAAGGGGCGACCTCATGGAAGGATCCTCGTCTTCGCTATCATCGTCGTCATCGTCTGCGTAATCGGCGGCATCTTCAATGATCTCTACCGGGGGTTGCTGCGGGACGGGTTCAGGAGCAACAGGCTGAGGTGCTCTTGGTGTCTTTTCTCCAGGAGTGTGTTCTATACTGAAAGAGCCCATCTTGCCAGGGGTATGTCCTGCATGTCTCCGGTATGATGGTGGGGGAGGAGACAGGTTTGCTGCCGTGCTGACGGGCGATGATGGCCCTTCTTCGCAGTTCATGCGGCCATAAAGTGAGTCTCCGCTTACGTCAACTGTGATCCGTGTGTCGGGTCGGCTCGAGACTCACCTTCGTTGCTGCCGTCTCCACCATGATGCGTGACGGTAAAGCTTGTCATTGGATGCGGCACACCAGGAATTGGGGGACTCTGCATGTTGGTGTGGTGCGGGAGGAAGCCCGTCGGCGGGCTCTTCACCGGCGACGAGCCTTTCTGCTCTGCCGTTGGGCTCACAATGCCGGTGTGAAAGCTTGCGGGGTCCGCTACGGCCAATTCTGCTTGCTTCAACTTGGTCGCCATGACCAAAAATTCTCGCTCCTTCGCCTCAAGAGCCTGTTGCAAACGCACAATGTCGCGCTGATACAGCTGTCGCTCCTGCTCCCATACCTTTCGCTCATTCTCAAAGTTGCCGCGGGCTCTGGCGAGAAGCTGGCGCCATTCGTCGGCGGACGAGCCCGTCTTGGCCTCGTGGATGGCTAAGACGCCGTTGTCGGGCGGAGTGAGCGGCGACACAATCCTCGAGGAGCCCTGGCGCGAGGCGGCGCTGGATAGGGGAATGGGGCTTGCGGAGGCGACAGTGTCGCGGACGGGGATCGCCGAGGGATGGTGCATGGCGTGGAGCGGCAGCATGCTGAAGGAAGTGAAGAGAGCGTCGTTGCAGGAACGCTCGAAGGCGGCGGGCGGCGATTTAGAGCGCTTCTCGGGGTGGAGCGGGGTGCTGTCGGTGGCCGAAGCTGTCAGGGAGGGTCAGCGGGGCACAGTTGACGTCGGTTGATGTTTGATGGTCACCCGAGGAGCGGTCTGAGAGCGGCGGGAGGGCCATTTTGGACGAGGTGGTAAAGGATGGGCGTTAGAGGCAGTGACGCATGGATGCAGGGTTTCGATTCGGATGTGCCTGCAGATCCGGGCGCGCGCGAGTCAGCCCTCCTCGCACGTGTACTTGGCGTGTTGGGTTGGGCCTTCCTTGGGCCGCAGCCGTTGCACCAGTTGCCCGTTGCATCAAACATCGTGTCTAGTCAATTTTTAGTCCAAGAAACATGGACGGCCCTGTGCAGCTTCAAACCAAACCCACCGCCTCGCTGTACTGTCGCCTCATCCTTCCTTCTTCCACTCCATGTGCTTCTCTCTGCGTCTTCCTCAACGGCCTCACCCTGCCGCAGGCCAGCTGGCGCGACACGGTTGACGCCCTGCGAGCACTCAGGCCCGGCCACGACTCCCTGCCCGCCATCCTGACCTACGACCGCTACGGCCAGGGTGCTTCTGACCATGACCCCAACGATCCGCCGGATGCGGAAAAATCGGGCTACGGGCACGATCCGCGTGCCGCCGTTGACGATCTGCACCAACTCCTCGCGCAGATCTGCCGCGAGCATATAGGGTCTAGCTTGGCTCAGACCACTCTTATCTTCGTATGCAACTCGATCGGCTGCCCGCTGGCCCGCCTATACGTTGCTCAATATGGCGAGGCCAACGTCGCCGGTCTCGTCTTCCTCGACTCCATGATTGCCAACACAGACTTCGTCTCTCTCTTCCCTGACCCTGACTCCAGTGACTTTGACCCCACCGAGGCCCTGCCTGCAGGCGTTGACGTTGATGGCCTCCGACACGCTCGAAAAATGTGTCAACTAATATTCCACCCTACGGTGCCCAACAAGGAGCGTTTGGACAGACGCAACATGCGCCAGCTGCTTCCCCATGCTGGAAGTCCGCAACTGAAGGGCGTCGACGGCAAGGGGCCTCATTTGACAGTCGTAGGACACGATCCAGACGTGTTCGCTGAACAGAGCCAAGTGGTGCCCCTCCCCTTAATGCGCATTAGCACTCCTTGCTGACAATCTTCCCAAGGGAACGCTCACGATTCCGGTAGCTTTAACTACCGCCTACGTCGAGCCAGCCTGGAAAGAGTACAACCAAGGACTGGCCCAAATCGTACCTGATCTTTCACGTGTCAAAGGACCTCTTGTCGCTCCAAAGTCCGGTCACTTTGTCCAGAAAGACGCGCCTCAGTTCGTTGCCGAGATTATTAGTGATTTGTTGGATCGGATTCAGCTTGACCAACAAAGCTGAAGGGGCTGTGTTCCTCGTAAGTTCGGGGAAAGAGAGTTACGAACGCACGATTTACGAAGCCAAGTCGCGTTTTCCCTTTGGTCAGAGATCACATTCGTTTTGACCAGTGGCACTGAGAGGGACTGATACATATAATCATCACTGAGTTATACTCTGCAGGTCACTATGATGCTTACAAGATCTTAGCGATATTGTATTGCTGTGGCATTAACACTGATCCGCAAATAAGAAGAAAGGCCATCCCGACTCGCAACGAAGGCTCTATCCACAATTTTGTAAGTTTCACGCAGGTACGACCAGCCCGCCACCACCTCCACAGCGCCGCAAGCGTGACAGCAGCAGCAAATAAGGAGAGTCGAAACGAATTACTCCCAAGCCCAAGCCTTCGTCCTCCCTTCACCGCATTCATAACCCCTCTACTCGCTACCCCACCCACCATTCCTTTTCCCGCTCATCCCCATCCCCACCCCCGCCGCGAACTAGAGTAGGTACCCGGCACCGTCGCCCACGTGCGCGTCCCAGCACCGTGGCCGACGCGTCCGTTTTCAGCTGCACTAGTACTGGCGTTGGCGCGGCGCGCGCCGCTAGCGGGAGGATGTTGCCCCGTCTGGCACCATCCCCGCTGCTGTGGTTGTAGGCTGCAGGGGCTGCTGCTGTTTGCGGTGGTGTGGTGTGGTGGGCGTGGGAGGCTGCTGGCTGATTGTTGCTGGGAGTGGGGTTGGTGAGGAAATGGGTTGTGCTGTGTGTAGTTGCATTGTAATGTTAGATCTTTAGCTAGGCGTCTTCGTATAAACCCTTTTGTGTGTGTGGAGTTATGCGCCTTTTCCTGTAGTGACAAATGCGATTAACCAGAAGAAACGATGTGTTAGTTGGAGGCTGATGGTATGGGTGTTTGTATGATTTCAATATTCTCCATTATTATATACTTTGTTGTCTTTAATTTAGTCAAGCTGTTACCCGACTGTATGGTGCCACCCTATCTGCCTGGTTCCATTCCTTACATATAGTTTATATTAAGGTGTACTCCCAGAAAACTCCGACTCGCGACAGTCTGTTTCCGATCGAACGGATGGTTTCCTTGTCGGAGAGTTATAGACTCTTGTAGACTCTTGAACGACTCAAGTGTATGGCAAATGTCGCTCTATCGCCACGTTCCTTTTATTCGATCGCCCAGAGCCGCTCTCTGGAGAAATATTTATCGGTATGCGGACCACGTCAATCGCAGAAGCCGGCTTCGCTTTGTGCCTCACGGTCGAGTCATCACATCACAAGCGATGACATTTGGAGTTGGACAGTCCAACAAGCAGTACCAGGCAACACTGTAACGGTAAGCTGTGCTGACATGGTCGAATCAGATGATGGGGTTGTGGTGTTACAGAGCCATTAATATGGGGACCTGGAGCCACATGTGGATGTCTCGGACAGACCAATCATCTGCGGCTAAGTCTTCAGTGGTAGCCACACCCACGTTGAAGGCGTAAATCCGGGGCAAGTAGTCACAAGCACTTAGGGCCGAATGCTAATGGCGACCGGGCGTGCAGGTTCAATAAACCCCGTGGCCGTTCCTATTCAGCACCGGTCATTGCCCGTCACATACGCAGACGCATGTCTGTATCTGGAGACGCCCATCTAGCCAAACAATGTATGTCACGACAGTCGCTGCGCAACAGTGGAGGATCGGAAGTGCTTGCCCGGTTCCGCGGCGGCGAATTCGAAGCGTACGACAGGAAGAGCAGCGTGACAAGCCGTCTACGAGCAGGCGTTGGCAGAGGGCCGGTCACGGACCAGTTGGAGCGAGGGAAGGTTGCGAGATAGAAAACCAAGAGAAAAGGTAGCGAAGAAGACAAGAGACGGAGAGGGTTGTCGAGATGAAGTCGTAGACGGAGAAGACTCCGATGGAGGAAAGTGAGGATATGGCGAGAGCTGATTGGGCCGGGACAAAAGTCCGTTGCAGACGTGCTTTTCGCGCCCTTTCTTCAACGGAGCCAGGTCCGGGCGCCGTCATGGCAAAGTTGTAAAGCCCCATGTCTAGGTCGAATGCCATGTGCGGCAGTGCGGAGTCTTCGTGATTGGCCGCGCCAGCGACTGCTCCTAATAAACTCCGGGGACGTGGAGGCTGCTCCGACGAGCGCTCCACCTCTTGTACCTCTTCGCTTTTCCCAGAGTGTCGCTAGAAACCAACCCATCCATCATCAAGGCCCGACTGAGCGGCCCGTCGCCCGTGGCCGCCCTCCGTTAACTCCTTCTCTTCTCTATTCTCAATGCTGCGTCTCTGACTTCCCTCTCCCTACATGTTCCTGCTCTTCCTTGCCACACCGGTCTGTTTCCATCCAGCGCATCTGCCGGCGCCTGACGCATGATCCCACCGCAATGAGCGCCATCTCACCCGCCAGGTCCACCTTCGACGACCAGCTTTCTCCCGATGGCACACCCCGTCGGGAGCGCGCCGCAATCGCCGCCCAGGCTTGTGAAACTTGTCGGTCTCGCAAGTCCAAATGCGATGAGCGCCGGCCAAGATGCGGGCTCTGCCAGCGCCTTGGGACCGAATGCAAATATAGAGAGCCCTTGCCCACAAAGTAAGTCGCATGGCCTCTTCTGACTGCCCGACGCGCCCGGATTGACAGCCCGCCCGTAGGAAGGACAAAACACTGCTCTTTATGCTTGATGCGTTAAGTAGAATCGAGGGTAAAGTCGACCAGATAGGCAAGGTCGTCTCTCCCGTGGGCGTCGATGCGGTATCCCCTCCTTTTTCGGGCCATCTACCCTCTGTCAGTAGTGTTCAACCTAGGAAAGGGAACGAGCACCAACCATCGCGACGCCAGAGCTTGGCTGTCCCTCACACCCCTGGGCAACATGATACTTCCGTCGCATACGTTCACGTTACCGCTTCTCACAAGGTCCTCCTTTGGCCGTTCATCCGTTCATACCTGAAAGAGTCCCATGTGGACGTTGACGAAGACCTTGAATCCCTTTCGCAAGAGGGAACGCCATGGTTTCTCCGGCAGGAAATGCGGAAGCACCCGAAAACCTTACCTTACGATGTCCGGTTGACGGCAGCTCCCGTACACGATGTGCCATCTCCCGATGGAACTCTTAGGACGAAATTTGCTGAGCTCACGTTGGAGCGCATGACGATCTATGCGCAGCAATACTTCAGTAGTTTCAACATGGTATACCTTTTGCTGGACAAATCGGATTTCATGGATATGGTCCTTCCCAAAGTTGCCCGATATGGCTTCGGAGATGGCGACGCCGACTCAATCATTGCATTGGTGGTATTTTCTTTAGGCAAACTGGCTCTGGAGGGGAGCCTGGAGCCACCCGTCATAAGCAGGACGCCCTGGGAGAATGGTTTGCCGGATGCTTCGACGGAACGACCACCAGGCCTCGAAATTTTCAACGAAGCCAGAAGACGCATTGGCTTTTTCGTGTGCGAAACGTCGCTGGAGAACATCCAGATTCTCCTTCTTTCTGCGTAAGTAGCGCGAGAAGCCTTGGACCGGGTGGAGCAGTTGAAAGCTGAATCGATGCAGAATTTACTACGAGGCTTGCGGAAGACACCTGGTATGTCTCATGGGCTGCGTGTTTGGAGACGCCTGTGTTGACGTTTTACAGGACTTTTGGCGCGCGTCCCAATCCGCGTCGACGGCTTTTCAGGTTTTGATCAAATGGTGGGATAGCATTCATCGTGGAGAAAAGCGCAAAGCAGCTAACCATCCAGCCATCAGCCTACCAGTCGAATGGTCTTCTAAACGCGGCAATCTACTCAAGAGGGTATACTGGACTTGCAATCTGATCGAAAGGTACGACTTACATCGACAGCATGGCAGGTGCTGACGCGATGGCAGCTGGTATCATTTTGAGCTCGATCTGCCGCAGACGGGAATTTGCGACCACGAGGATGACGTCCCGCTGCCGGGCGAGATACTAGGGCCTAGCGCGGTTGAGGACCAGTCGACGGTGATGCACTTCCTTGCGATAATAGCGCTGCGGCGTCTGGTGACGAGGGTGCACAAGACAATCTTCGAGGGTGGGTTGATTTCTAAGTGCAGAGCGAGGTGGCGATACCGGAGTATACTCCGCTCGCGATTGGATTGGATCCTGGCTAACTTAGTCCTCTCTTTCCACAGCAACAAACTCAACAGCAGAATCGCCCGAAGGTTATGGCGGCCCCCCGACCCATGTCATTGACGAGCTCGCCCGGCAATTGGACTCTTGGCGCTCGATGCTGCCTCCAGACCTTCAGTGGGCCGACGAACCCCCCGAGGCGCGATTTCAGTATGTGCAGCGCTCTGTTGCCACCGATGGCCAGAGCTCCGCGGTTTTCATGGAACATGGCCTCGGCATGCTCAACGCGCAATTGCGCTCCCGCTACTACTACACGCGCTTCATGATCTATCGACCGTTTGTCTTCAAGGCCCTTCACTTTCCAGAATTGATGACAGACAAGGACAGTCGCCTAGTCGGGCTGTGCATCAAGAGCGCTCTTATGTGGCCGATAGCGCTTCCGCCGTCAAAATTGCGCAAGCGCTTGGTTCCACATATGTATGCTTGGACACAGAACTTTCTCGGAATTTTGCTCATCCTGCGCATGACGACCATAAGTCCTGTCCTCGACGACGTCTGCCGTAATTTCATCGATCAGAGGGAGTTGGTACTGACCGTGCAACATCAGCTCGAGTGGTTCGCCGACGTCCGAGATCTCGACGGCATCGCGGATTGGAGCTGGAAAATCCTTGAGCCCTTGTTTCGCGGCATGCTCCCTATCATCGACGGGTTTTCGAAGGACGGAGAAACATGATAGTCGTTTGGGGAGAATGCTCTATTCATTGCGAATAGTATGGCCATGCTATCCTGCAAACATTGGATTTTACTAGTCTCGCCAGCGAGGAAGAGCAATTCTAATAGGGAATGCAAGTTACGCCTATGCATGGGATAATCACGTCCTGCCAGAGCCAGGTCACGCAGTCTCTGCTCTTTACCATGGACCGAAAGAGCATTCCAAGGCGAGTATTCGGATTTGAGAGTAGCGGCCCTGCTCCGTTTCCATCATCATCACCGCCACGGCAGCGGCCGCCGCCACCGCCACCGCCGTTTAACAAGCTTTCTCATATCGGGTCGATGGACTTTATATGCATAATGAAGGTCGGTGAAGCTTGTATGGAGCTCGTAATACTACTTCTACCAATTCGATGATCTGCCGAACATATCACGAAATAATACTATTGTCTGTCTGTCACTGTTTTTATAGACATAGATAAACCGAGGGCAGTAAATGCAGCTGTTCAACTAGTATGGGGCAAAGCACAATTTGAAAACGAGCAAGAGTGAAGTAGCAGTCTTCCCGCCAAACACGAGTGCCGTAGTTTGTTTTCACGTGACGACGCTTGTTTGCCACCCATTCCTCTGTTGTACTTCGTAGCCGGCGGTAACCTAGTGGAAGTATCCTTGAGCCGCAGAAGTTCATCGACAGCTCACCCTTGCTCCCGCCTGTTTCGAGGCCCTGTCGCGCCTGTCCGGACATGGGGATGGGCTAGAGAGTCTAGTTCGGGAAAGGTCGGGACGTGGGCGGGAGCATTGCAGACGGACGACGACGTCCTCCCCCTAACCCCTGCAGGCATCATAGCTAGCGTCTCTCCTCACTGCGTGGTTTATCGAGTGATGTTGACACGAAACTATTCTTGGCGGAAACAGCGCATCCTTCGCCGTACTCACCCCTACTGAAGGGAGGGTTGTTTTTTTGTTTTTTTGGTCAAGGGGACGTGGGGCGGGCGCTGTGGCTAAGCCGAGACAATCGACCCGGGAACGGGACGGCCGCAACCGGCATCGTCCCGACGCGTGCACCTACTTTCAGTAATAGAAAGTCAGACTGAAGTATTGGCAGGCGATTCTACCCCTCTACCCGAGGGCAGTGTTGTCACAATTAGTTGGTGAGCGAGTACGCAGGCCATGGACGAGCAGCGGGGTGGGGCGGGGCGGAGCGGGGCGGGGATATAGGGTCGAGATTGCGGCTATCGACGCCTATCTCTTCCTGATTATTTTTATATTAAAACCCAAGAGATTGTCGGAGGTTGGCGACGGGTGGCGGTGGCGGGGGGGGGGTGTGGGTTGGAGGCTGGGAGGCCAGAAGAGGCAAGCCGGGATGGAAACGAACGGGCTCGACTGCAAGGCCTCGTAATGCATTCGTTCATCGAGCCGTATATTTGATACTTGCGGCCGTACCTCGTCGCAACAGGCCTCAGCCCTACGGGGGGATCGCCGAAGACGGAGAATTGGCGAGAGGCAGCGCACAATTGACGGCGGGCAAAGAGTCAGCTGGGCAGGCTTTGTGCGCGCCGTTTCATGCGAAGCCGTTGACCGCCTCGTGCGCAGTTGCTGCATCATCGACTCTCTCGGCAGCCATTGAAGATCTCTCTCCACGCGATCTTCGCATCCAAAAAGTCGCCCTGTGTCGCTCACTCGCTCTCACCCTTCGCCCCAGCCGCCACCCACGTTCGTTACCTCCCTCTCTCCCCCCTCTCCGCTGTCTGATGTCACCCGGCATCCAGGTCCTGTCTGCCGAAGCCACCATGGCCGAGGACCGCCCCCTCAAGCCCCAAGGCCACGCCCAACCCTACGACCCCCAGAACGAGATATTCATCCACATGCCGGCCACCGCCTGGATCGACCAGCAAGACCCCCCCGAGTTCGACGAGTCCTTGCTGGCCAGCCTCGAGCAGAAGCGCCAGGAACTCGACGCCAAGGTCCACCGCTACATAGCAAAGAAACAGGGGCAGTTCAACGATTGGGTTGGCGACAAGCGCTCCCGCTACGAGCTCCGCGCCGAGGAACGCCGCCACAGGCACGACGACCAAGATGCTCCCCCGTACCCGTCCGAGCCCACGACCGACGACGACACCAGCCCGCCCAAGACGCCCGAGGACCAAAACGCGCGCAGGAGAGCTGAAGACACCTCGCAAGACGTGGCCAAGCAGGAGTCTCCCGACGACCCTGCCAGCGCAACGCGCGAAAAGGACTCGGAGCTCCTCCAGCTGCTTCCTGGCTTCTTGCCACTGCTTGATGAACAAGAAGGGAGCAGCAGCAGCCCGGCGCGCAGCAGCTCGGCCCCTCCTTCCAACGGCAGAGCCGAAGCTTCTCCGCCGACGACGCCTATCAATCCTCGCATTGAATTCGGTCGCTCAGTCACTGCACCCAGTCCCATATACGCTGCCGCTGCCCGTAGTGCTAGAAGGCCACTTCCCAGGCGCTCCTCGCTGAAACAGCCTTCATCGGGCAATGGTACCGGCAGCCGCAAGGCTGTCCGATTGAGTTTAGGCCCTCAGATTGTGACGCCGACCCAGTCACCTCCGGAGCACGACGAGATCTACGACCCGGTAAGGCTTGCCGAGGAACAGCGACTGCTCGAGGAACAAGCATTAGCCATCATCGAGCAAGAGACAGAAGAAAAGTGGAGAACGGAGCCGGAAAGGACCTACATTGACTTTGTTCCAACTGAGCCTGCATCAGTGCCCAATGTCGACGGTCCTGCGGATGTCCCAAGCCCCCGGCTAACACCACCCGCCAGCCCCAAACCTGAGGCCAAGGAGCCTGTGGAAGCGGGCTCTGCCACCCCAGAACTGCCAGGACCGATGAGACCTGAAAGCCCCAGCGAGTGCTCCACTACTTCGTACGGCGAGACCAGCGCTGAACAGGCATTGTCTTTGCATGGCAACGAAGCGCCGAACTCGCCAGCGACTAAGCCTGTAGACAAGGAAAAGAAGAAGAAAAAGAGAAGAAAGTCCAAATCTAGCAAATCGGCCGGCCCTCACGCCGCCCTGTCTCACTTTACGCCTACGCCTGCAACCGTGACGACAGCCGTTTCGTCAGCGGCTCCCGAAGCCCCGCCTTACTCACCTGTAAACCCAGTCGCCGCCCCATACGAAGACATCCCCGAACCTGTATACCAGCACGTGTCGCCCTCACGCGCTGCCGACGACCCAAACACGTACTCGGGCTCGCTGCTGAGTAGCAGCATGCGTGACTCGGGACCGCATTACGGGACAACGCGATCGCGGCCGCCTCCGAGCAGTCTGCGACCGGACATGGCATCTTTGAACGCTGTCAATGTACCATTGCCGGTCGGCGGGTTCAGCGCGGGCAGTGCGACGGGTAACACGCCACGCAGTTACGGGTCATCGGCCATGCCACGCGCCAGCCTCGGTGAGAGTTATATGGCGTTGCATTTCGCGCGACGCATGATGGAGCGTGAGATGGAGCGGAACCGGAGTGGCGACAAAACGATGGGGCGACAGCAACACCACCATCAGCCCGAGTTGGGCCGCGCGCTGAGTGAGGTTGGTGAGGGCGAGGAAGACGACGTCGGGGTCGAGAGAAATGAGTTTGTGCCAAGTGGTGCCGTGGCAATCGAAAACGATAACGCGCCGAGGTACGTTGAGGATGTGGATTTGGAACTGGACCTGAATACGTCAAACGGACCGGACGATGGGAAAAAGGGAGAAGACGAGGACGACCAGGAATTCATGGGCGACCTCGACCTATGAGGTGGCACTGGCATACACCCCGCTGTCGCCGACGAATGAACGAGCGAGCGAGCGAGCGCAAGCTAGCCTGTTTTTATTTTCGTGCTGCTGTTGCTGCTCGCTTGCTCCCTTGAGACATGGCGCGCAGAGGGTAGGAGGCAGTGGTACGGAGCTATCTAACTGCCACCAGCACCACTTGAGGTTAAAAGCTTGAGCACTAGCATGGAACGGGCGCGGGGCAGGCCCTGTCCGCCAGTGGCTGACAGGCGACATGGTTGATAGGGCTAGCTCGCTCTGTCCGCCTCTGCCGATGCGCTCACCTGCTCACACTCTGTCTCAGTCGCCCATGACCGTGGGCGCTATTGTCATACGCGTTTTTCTGCCAGGTACGCTCGTACGCGCGGCACATCGCGTCACCGACCTTGTTGCCTTGACATGCGTGTGTGTGTGTGGACAAAAGCTAAAAGCCTTCTTTTTTTTTTTTTTTATTCATCTTTGATTCATCTTCCACCACCACCCCTTCTCGATCTTTGTCTTTGCATATCCCCTTCCCCTTCATCCGCAGCTGCATCCATAAAGATTGGGATGGTGCAGTCCACGAAGCGAGGAAGGCAGGAAGAAAGGCAGGCAGAGAGCAGGCGAAGAGCGCATGTCCGGCGCGCATGCCGACTTGACGATGATGGAGGAGAGACAGAGAGCTGATGCGAAGATTCGTGCACTGCATGCATTTTCCCCCATCACACATGGCGGCGGCACGGCATTATGATTTCTATTCATTGGCATAGGGGCGCTTTCTTTCTTTCTTGCTTTTTCAGCGCATTCCTCGCTGGGCGTCGGCGTCGGCGTCGGCGTCATCATCAGAACGTCGTTTATTAGCTGTCGTTTTGCTTGCTCTTTAGTACTACTTACTTAGTTCTACTTTACTTTCGTTTCTCTGGCTCTTCTCTCTTCTTCTTCTTCTTCTTCCGCTTCTGCTGCTGCTGCTGCTGCCGCCGCTTTCTATCCATGGCTGCCGGTCTGTCGCCTTTCCTTCTGCTCTCGGTCAGGCAGGCGAGTCGCGCCCGTGCTCCTCTTCTTCCTCTTCTAGGCTCTTTTACATACTACGTATGCTGCTTGCTGTCGTGCGGCGCTGGCGATGGTGTGGTGCTGGGGTGCGTGGTCGCTCGGCAGAGCTGCCACTGCTACCTACCCAGGTACTTACCCACCTACCTACTGCCCAGCTCACGGCGCCGTCGTTGCAGCAGCTCATTCATAATCCTTTCTTCTCTCTTTCTTTCCTTCTTCTTCGCTGACCCTGCTTGTCTTGTTGCACAGCATAGCATGGCGCCAGCCGCCACGCCCTCGCAGCATATATATACGCCGAGGGCCGGCGGAACGAAAAACAGCGACGCGAGTGAGTGGCAACGCATGCGTGACCAGGTAAGTAGCAGTGTATGTAATACGGGTGTTTGCCTTCTTTCTCTCCGTCCCTTCTTTTTCCCCTTCTTCTTCTTCGATTCATGTGCATACTCCTACGTGCGTCTGAGGATTGCTGCTGCGTCGGGCTATGTAGGCTGGCCGCGGTGCACGTGTACGGGGAGAGAGCGGGCGGGCGCTCGGTTTGGCCTATCAATCAACCTGCCTCCAGCTTGCGCTGAAGGGGCGCTTCTGTATATACTTCTTACTTGCTTATATACGTATATGGACGAGGGTGGGCTGCATGCATATGTGGGTGGTGACGGCGACGGCGCCGGGTGCGGGTAATAGTAACAATTAATTCGGTCCGCTATGCTTGCGCTTTCCTTGCACTGTGCTTTTGCTGCGCTGGCTTTCGGTGTCTGTCGTCTGTCTTGGGCTGGTTACATATGCACTGTAGCAAGCTGTAGGCGAAACAATGCCAAATGGGCCCGCCCGGCAGCGACCCGGCTTACATGCACCACCACTGTCTTTGAGATCGTATACACAGGCACGTACGTATAGCATACACGAACTCATCACTCTCTCAACCAAACAAGAGACGAACGAATCTACCTAGGTACAAACATACAAACAACCTCTCCCATCCGGCCCCGATCGTGCGTATTTGCCATACGTACGACGCGTTCGTTGGCGCTGCGAGCGAGAGCAGAGCAGAGCACCAAATAGACTGCTGCACATTGCTGGCTGTGTAGCTATGTGGCTAGCTGGGTGGTGGCTATACAGATCGACAGTATCTCCCACCACCACCACCACCACCACCACCACCACCACCACCGCCGCCGCCGTTATCGTTCATCGTCACCTAGCCTCATCTATCTATCTGTACGCGCGCATGGAGCAGGCGCCTAAGTTTTGCCTATCGCGCTCTGTGCGTGCGCTTACGTGCACTTGTCCTTCATACTAACATTTTACTTCACCGATTCAAGTATATTCATATGCACACCCGCACACGCGCATACACAATAACATCACAGCCCTCACAGCGCACTCACCAACACCACCAGACGCAGGCAATTTTTTCATCATTTCATTTCAGCAACTACACCAACCCTACGGAGGAGGAGGAGGAGGCAAGGAGGAAAAAAACGAAACGAAAAGAGCAAAGGAAACAACAACGACGACAACGACAACAGCAAAAAAAAAATAAAAAAATAAAAGAAAAGCATCCGATCCAAGCAAGTCCCGTCGTCTCCAACACCGGCAGCGCGTCCCCTCTAGCCCAACTAAGGAAGAGAGAGAATGAAAA